GATGCCAGCGAGAAGTTTAGAGACGATGCTGATTAAACTAATTCGTTTATGGTTTTCACAAGAGGATCTATCACCTTTCTTGTAAATCGGTATGATCACCGACTCACACCATTCAGCTGGAACCTCTTCCCTTTCAAATATTGAACCCAGGAGTCTTGTCAACTCCAAGACTAACGCTGAGCCGTAATGGCAACTGCTCCGGGAGAAAACCATGGGATTTTTACCAAGGCCCAGAGAACCGGTTCCAGTGGACATCCAACCTCGTAACGGTAACATGAGCACATAATCTATGCATCTAATCTTTTGTTCGTTCCCATACATTGATGGGTCACTATTAGGGCTGTTGTTCACTAATCACCCACTTATCCCATCCCCGCAGAGCTAAGAGGTGGCTAGCGAAGCTCAAAAAGTGTGGGGAACTTCGCAGAACGCCACTGAATCCTACAGGAACTTGTGCTCTCAACCTACTGACTGAAAATCAATGCAAGCCGGATGACAAAAGGTAAAGGTATTGAACAGTGAGAAGATAAACTATGAGCAGCTATCCTCCTAGACGAAGGGTATAAAAAATGCGTTATGCAAAGTGTATGGGTAGTTCGCACAAAGTGCGTCCGCTATTTGTGTCGGTGTCTACATGTCACCACCCTGTCAGTCTATCTATCCTCTTCGGTGGGAACTCGCGGAAAACTAGCATGCTTCAGCGGACGAAACGCAAATTAATCGACTGGCGGGAGTATATGACCGGAAACGCTAACACCAATGTGACCACAGAATGCGTCTTCCTCAACCTAGTCGTTGTTTGCACTTCATATCAGCGTGTGTAAAGCGAGGAAGAGCATACACATGAAAATGCATATTCCCCCAGGGGACAGATGTGTGTAAGGGTAACACGGGGGAAGTGAAAACTGCGGGTGGACGCCAGTGCATCACGCACTAACCTGGACAGAGAGAGAGAGAGAGAGAGTACGTGTGCTTGCTCCCCGAAGCCCAAATAAGCGAAACGTAGCCATTCCAGATACAGCACGATACCATACAAGGATGAGTGAGATATTTTTGGTTTCCGACAGGTGCAAACGAAACCAATTCAAAATTCGCACGACTGAAATGCCTCGATTAGGCAACGGTTTACCTGAAGAATGTTTTCGGCACACTAAACTACCCTTCATTCCCTCTCCCGAGTGTGTAAGGTATTTAGCAAGTGAGATGAGTATTCGGTACGTCGTCCACATTTAACCCGGGTTTATGGATGACATCGGTTTTGCGGAATAGTGAAATTCGGATGGCCGTTGAGGAAAAGGTTTTGGAGGCCATGGTATTTAGGCAAATTTTCGTCGACGAATGGTCCGGAGTGAGTTGTTTCATGATATCGTGAAGTGATTCTGCGGATGATGCCCAATCAATGATGTTGGCATTTACATGAATATTCAGCTTTGAAATTGCAGCGGACTGTAGAGAGTAATTGCGTGAATGCGTAAAACAGACTCACTTGATAAACGGTGACCATACGAAAGTGAATCGCTTAGCCTGAGAGTAAACAGTCGGATGGGATGAAGCACAAAACAACTTTCAACAAAACCAAAAAATACTAGGGAGAACTGGAATGATTAATTGGGGTTTGCACATGGGCCTTCTGTGTAGTAAATATGCGGAAAATATGAAACAAAGCTCCCAAGTCATAGAATTCTAACCCGCACAAGAATGAACGTATAAATAAAGGTGTAACTGAAACGGAATATGCCATTTGGACTGCAGAAGCTGGTAGTACCAACAACCGCCTGATAATGAAGACTTCCACAGAATAAACTCATCGTTTTCTAGTTGAAAGAATGCTTGATTTATCTTATTTTGATTTTTTTACTTACTTCCGTAAATGGTGTATCCATAGATATGGTGTGAAAAGCCGAAAAGCCACCCATCTGAGTGAATGACATTACCACTGGCTCAAAATGAAGTGGACCGGACGTTGCAAAATTAATAAAAACGAGCCTACAAGCGACGATCATAAAAGCGATCTGTGTGGTATGCAACTTGGTATTGGCTAAAAACATAGTCAGCGGGTGTAGTATGAAATTATATAAACAAAGAACGATGACCAGGGGATTTAGGTACCACAAACGAATGAAGAAAATGTTTTGCCAAGCAAATGTGAGACACATTGGCTCTAAATTCTGAAAAACCGAATCAATTTAGATAGAAACAATCTCGTCCACCAAGCTACTGGGAGAATTCATTCAAAAATTTGCAGTAAATTACAAATACTGATGCACATATTCCATTATTAAAAAGTGAAATCGAATAATCCAAGCGTTGAAACAACCACTCCAGTGAATCATAAGCAACGTCGATCGATCTCAAGTGTTCCGTTTCCCTTGATGCACGCCGGTGAAATTCCTGGGTCTTACTGCCCCCATGAAATGGAATGAAATGTTTTACCATTTCACAATTCGTTGCTGTCAATCTTTGAGAAAATCAGTCGGGCAATTTTGCACTATTGGACCCAGGAACAAACTACAGAAAGGCTACCATCACACCGATGCTTGTGGGACGATTTTTTTGACAGTCTTCATTTGAACGTGATTACTACTAATAGGAGGAATAACGCTAACCATGGCGCATTTCATGGGTCTGCTGGGATAACCGGACAAGCAATGTCGAGATTACTTAGACAGTTGCGGTCATATCATTAAACAAACGTTGGATGTTTATGAATTGCAATGGCTGGGACATATCACCAGATAGAAGTAGATAGGTAAAGACTGCTGGTTCAACGAGGACTCGACATGGCACCATTGAAACGATATTCAGTCAGATAGACCGGGTTGAAGCTCCTTTGATGCGGACCTCGGAACCAGCCCAATTGGTGGTTGCAGACAATGAGTTATGTGACCAAGTGTTGTAACCAGTGAAGCTCACGCATCTGTTTAGCTGTTGTGAAGATTACTTTTACCTGCATTCTATACTTTGATCTTGTTACAGATCGTAGTTTACCGATTCTTCCGTTGACCTCCTCGTCACTATTTGATCAAATGGGCAGTCGAAAGACAGTAATCAAAACCACCGCACGAAATTTTAACACCCAGTAATTAGATTTTTCGGATTATTGGGAGTTTCCTTTAACCGATTTTCTGTTGTGGGCATAATCTTAAACCAATGATGATTTCCTTTACTTTCAATACCCAATTATAAGAGGTATCTAGAATTTATGATGTAGTTTGCCTAAAGATTCTCGACTGTAGTCCTCGGGGTTCGTTTGGTCGATAACCGGGAGGGGGGGGGCAGCAGGCAATTTTGCGAGTCGTGAACGGCAATGCTTCCTCATCTACTCAGCTTGTCTGCTGGTCCCTAAAGAGCAATAAATCGAACATTTCAGGAACCATCCGAATGACGTAGCTCGATCCTGATGGTTACAAATACGTCAACTAATATGGTGTATTACTGACAATGGTTAATTCGATCAATCAAACGCATTACCAAGGTTTAATGGACTGATTCGAAATTAAGTGTAATGTTGTGACATCAGGTGTCGAAAGTGACCCACCACCAATTATGGCTATTGCTCCTTTTCAAGGATCATTTACCTGAAAAAGTTCTTCAAAAGAAGCAAATGAACCACATACGTAGCCATCGGCTCACTTAGAACAACGCTTTATTCCAGTTCACGCTTGGTGGCGCGAAGGCTGGAATGCACCTTCGAAAAAAACGCCTACTTTGGACTGAACGATTTAGGAACCCATGATAGACAGCCAGCAATTCCACACTGTATACCTATTCTTCCTTTCCCAAACATTCTTTATCTAACTTCCATTTCACCCAAAAATACTCAAATTCATCGGAAAATTCAGTCGCTGTGCTAGCAGTAGTACCGGTGAAGTAAATCCCACTCCTGTTCCCTCACGTCCTGTTACCATTAGCCTCCGAGTCTCACTGAATCCTAAATAAGCCCAAATCATAACATCAAGTAGTACAAATAGCTTTTCGGTACTGTTCTGTACTCCTTCGGTTCAGAAAATTGTGATCCGACGCGTCGTTTTGTGACACCATGGATTTTTGCTCATCCTCTTGTTTGATACATTCCAATCAATCTTGGTCGCGAGTGAGCATAACTAAATACGACTCGCAACTAGACGTGAAACCGAAGTGAACCAAGGCGAGAAAAATGAAACCTGGTGGATTCAATGTGCGTCAGAGATGAAACAAGCGGCCGCTGTGACAACCTTCCGTAAATTGTTTCAATTAATCCGGGTTACTGGTTGAAAAGCCTCGGGTGTGAGTGAAACGACCTATGCGCCTAGGAATTCGTCTAGTCGCAATCAACAGCGACATATTCAACGCCAGTAAGAGTACTTTAAGGCGGAGGGTCGAAAAAATATTTCAGGCCTGAGATGTTACAAAGCGCCGGGCTCCGATTTTCTGTGGCTCTATTTAAAGAGGATAAAATAAAGCCTGTTAGAGAACTACAAGTCATATTCTACAACGTTTCAGACATTGGGTAAGTTTTCGTTTGTGAGAGCGTTGACGACTGTCTCCATGCTCAAAGGCTCGTGCAATGACCACGCTAACTATGCACACATGACGTGTAACTGAATCTCAAAATACCTATGAGATATGAGAGAGACGCAAACTGGGTACGTCCTGAAATCAATCAGCAACCTTGGCGATCTAACAAACCGATCAGTACGTTCACTTAACTACGCTGTAGAGAAAACAGCGAAAGATGTGGAGGAATACAGCTTATGAGGTACTATAAGGACTTACTTTGAGTAACTGTGGTTGATCAAAACAACCAAGGGCAGTGCATGTTTCTGAACAAGACCCGTGAGCCGTGTCAGGTGGTAACGGACGCAAGAACCACAATTCCAAAAGGATTGGCATACGGAAAAACCGGCAATCCACTGTTTGGTTATCACCGATGCAAGCATGTGTATTGTGAGCAAAGAATTCCAGTTGCGGATAATCTGGGGAATTCAAGGTGGAGCAGTTTAATTGTGACGGCGTACCAAGCCCGGTGGACGACAAATGGGTCGATCCTGTATCATTCATAACTGAGGCGTCTGATGATTTCACAGGGGTTTGTACCTGTGGCAGTGACGGGGATGTTGTTGTCTGCGATGATGAATTCGACAGGAGTTGCGATGTAGGCTGTTTTGACTCAGCTTCCGATGGATGTGTGTTCGAATTCAGATCTCCAAAGGATGTGGGATCTCCATCGAATTCGAGAAAATGATCAAATTCATCAAGCACATGGTAGTCTTTGAAACCCAGTTCCGGAAACAAAAAGTCGGAATCCTCCCTGAAATGAGCAATCATTCATTTTGAAATATATGAAATATATATGATTAACAATTGCCGAGTCATATGAAGACAAATATTATGTTTCTCCTCAATTAGAACACGGAGGAAGAACGTTGATCATGTAACTTGGTATACCTGACGGTATGCTGATTCAATGATCCAAGATGGAAATTAACTACGCTTTTAATTTAAGTACTCGTTTATATACTGTATAGTCTAGTTACAATTCGCCACACTGTTTTTGGAGTTGTGTAACATCCAGCAAAATGAAATGCATAAATAACAATATAATAATGATAACTTGATATAATAATTTGGCAATAACTAGGGCGAAATTAAGCGTAATAATTTAGCTGTGCTCAGATCTTAGATGACGATACCTAAAGCCTTTTTTGTGGTACCAAAGTCACTCAGTAGTCCGTTCGTTATCTCCATCCTAATAAAACTAAAGACTTCAAACAACACTAATACAATTAGTATGCAGACCCCAGTAAGAAAATAAGTAACGACCTGAATAAACTTTCTGCAACTAACAGACGCTATCGTCGTTCTTTCAATTTGTAGAGTTATCACCCTCCTCGATTCCATAATCTAACAATGATTACGCTAAGGATGAAACAAAAGTCGTCATCCTCTCTCCGATGTTGCCATTCTCCCTAGTTTAATGATACTATCAGATGATCAGCTTGCAAGCCTGTCTTCACCGAACACCCGGGGTAGGCTGGTGCTGCTATCCTGGTGGTTAATTGAAAACAAATTTTCACTATCAAATCAGATATGCCGCAACTAGGCCTTTGAATATTGAACAGGTGGTACGTAAGAAACCGTAATTGAACATCAACCGGTACCAATCTGGGGCATAGATATCCACGAGGTAGACTCGGTTTGAAGAGGATAGTGGCATAAAAGCAAACGTAAGCAATCGCACAACGTTCTGAGATTGTAACGGATCCAGAAACATCTTCTATGGAACAGTAAGATCCAACCATTTTTAGGGAAAGCCTCGAGCCGCTGCGTTTACCTTTTCAATACACAATGAGATTAATGATACGAAAAAACTTCGATGAATCGCATTTGTGTAAACTATACAGTTAATATGCAAAACACTGATCTTTCGTATGGTTATACGGAAACCATTGATCCTCTCCTCACCGCAAATAATAATTATCCACTCAGTTACTAATTCAGTCCGCAACGAAAATTGAACAGTTGTCGTATGACATACGCACAGTTTCGCATATTTCCGGCCTCTGCAGTTCACTTCAGTTCGATTTTTGCAACAATGCTATTTCGTGCGCCGATGTAATTTGCCGTTTTCTGATCACCCATTTGGATAAAAGAGCAGTATGAAGAGTGGAATGCTGAGCAAATTCAAACGGAAGGTGGAGAACTTATCCAGACTAGTATTAAGAGGATAATGGGTATACGCATGAGCACCACTGTTTGCGACAACCAGCCATATCACTCAGAGTCTCTAACCATCGGTGACCATCATCTCGGGGTCCCCAGCCCGGGAGCCTAAC